CATTAGGCCATTGCATCCAAAGAATATTTCGCTTGCTTTATGAGACCACCCCGGCGGGGAGCAGACGCTTCCGGGAAGCTGCCTGCCTGGCGGAAGCGGCCGCGCACGACGTTCTGCGCCTGCGCGAGCCCTGCGGGCGTGACTGCGCACGCGCGGCGGGTGAGTGGACGGCGGCCCCACCGAGCGGCCTGGCGGGGCTGCCCTGAGCGGGGTTGGAGTCGGTGGTCCGGGCGGGTTTGATCCTAAGACCCTGCCCAGTGCAGTGGCGATGAGGGAGGAATTTGTGTTCGATGTCTGGTCGGTGGCTCGCGGACCTGAGGCCGCGCACGTGCCGGGGCGGGGGATTGAACCCCCGACCAGGGCAGCGCGCAAGTGGTGGCTCCGAGCTGCCGCAGCCCTGGGCCTCTGCACCCTGAATGCTTGACTCCGGACGTGCGGATGAATACTGGCTGAGAAAAATGCCCTGTAGGTTTATTCGGGCTCTGCCTGCGCCGATCCGCGGGTGGCTGAGGACTGCTGCTGGGGGAGGGGCTGCAAGTGGAAGCGACCAGGACTCGAACCCAGGATGCGGGCAGCGCGAGGCTCTTCACGGAGCAGTAGGTGGGACCGAGAGTGTCTTGATGGGGGTTATGGTCTCCTGCGGGTGTGCAGGTCGAAACTCAGTGAATCGGGTCAGGCAAGAATCCTAGACCCTTGGGTTAGGCTGTGCCCGCTGGATCACACCGTCTTGAGCGCTGTTTCTTGAGAAGGCAGTGTGACAGCCTGCCAGATGCTGCGAGCTGGGGCCTTGGTGTGAGCAAGCATTCGCGGGAAGGAAGGCTTTTGCAGCCACACACCCTGAGGAGCCCGTGCAGGCCTCTGTCGTGCTGGTCCGCCTCTTCCTCGTGGGCTCATTCTCTCCACTCTGACGCTTGGGGAGCAGTTGGCCTCTGATGGGAGACGCACCACGTGACCTTGGGATGCTGCTGGACCTTCTCGGCTTCTGCCCCATTGCCGCTGCCGGCCTCTTGCAGAAGGCTGTTCTGTGCATTGGAGGAGGTGTGCTGCAGCAGCCTGGGCCTCTCCCCCTCGGCTGCCTGTAGCATCTCAGCACAGATAAGGGTACAATTCAGAAGGGTCTCATGTCTAGTGAAGAGTACTTAAAAAATTTTTTTTTCCTCTAACTCTTGCATAAACCCACTTGGAAAAATTAGGAATGACTTAGGGTTTTTAAAAGTATATTTAATAGGACCCAGCATGATGGCTAATCGTCCCCTTGCAAGTGCTGGGATCCCATATGGGAGTCGATTCATGTCCCAGCAGCTCCACTTCCCTTCCAGCTCCCTGCTTGTGGCCTGGTAAAGCAGTCGAGACGGCCCAAAGCCTTGGGACCCTGCACCTACATGGGACACCTGGAAGATGCTCCTGGTTCCTGGCTTCAGATTGGTGTAGCACTGGCCATAGCAGTCACTTGGGGAATGAATCATCGGATGGAAGATCTTCCTCTCTGTCTCTCCTCTTGTCTGCATATCTGACTTTGCAATAAAAATAAGTAAATATTTAAAAAGAAAAAAGTAAAGTGACAGGGAAGGAGAGAGATAGATCTTTCATCTGCTGGCTTATCCCCCCGCCCCCCCGCCCCAAGAGCTGAGGCTGGGTCAGGCGCAACCAGGGACAAGCATTCCCCCGGCGTCTCCTGGCGGAGGCAGTAGTTGCACAAGCAGTGGGTTCCTCATTCCCTCCTGCCAGGCCATCACCAGGAGCTGGATGGAACTTTAGGAGATGGGGGCATCCAAAATCACAGTGTAACCCACAGCAGCACCCATCGCCCAAAGAAACTTTACCTTGGAACGTCACAGCTTTCCAAAGGAAAGAGTTTCCAATAGAGATTCCAATATCCCCCACATCCAAGTTCCCGTTACTGCCGTCTCATGTCCCAATTCATGAAGCCACACCGCTGCATTGTCAGCCCAAGTGTGTGTTTTGTTCAGATCTCCCAGGCCCTTAGCAACACCATTTTCTGTTCCAGGATCCAGTCCGGGATCCCGTGTTACATTTAATGTCCGTGTCTCCCTGGGTTCTGGCTGTCCTGGTTTTTGATGGCCCACCAGATTTGAGCCGGACTGGTCAGTTATTTTGTAGCATGGTTTTCAGTTGGAATTTGTGTAAGGTCTATCTCATGATTAAACCAGGGTGGTGGGTTTTTGTGGACAAAGACCCAGGGGCTGCATGCAGGACTGACCACAGCAGTGTTGGCCGTGGGCACCTAGATGTCAACTGTGTTTTTCTAAGGTTTTCTTTGTGAGGGCTGGCTCTGTGGCACCAGCATCCCTTTTGGGCACCAGTTTGTGTCTTGGCTGCTCCACTTCCGATCCAGCCCTCTGCTAATGTGCCTGGGAAGACAGCAGCAGACGGTCTAAGTGCTTGGGCCGCTGCATCCATGCAGGAGATCCAGAAGAGACTCCGAGCTTTGGACGGGCCCAGCCTGGCCACTGCATCCACTTGGGGAGTGAACAGCACAGGAAAGCTCTCTCTCTCTCTATCTCTCCTTCGTCTGTAACTCTGCCTTTGAAATAAAAATAAATAAATCTTTTAAATTATTTTTTAAAGGTTTGTTTATTTATTGTTTATTATTTTTACTGGAAAGTCAGATACACAGAAAGGAGGAGAGACAGAGAGGAAGAGCTTGCGTCCGATGATTCACTCCCCAAGTGACCACAGTGGCTGGTGCTGCACTGATCCGAAGCCAGGAGCCAGGACTTCCTCCAGGTCTCCTGCATGGGTGCAGGGTCCCAAGGCTTTGGGCCGTCCTCGACTGCTTTCCCAGGCCACAAGCAGGGAGCTGGATGGGAAGTGGAGCAGCTGGGACATGAACTTGTGTCCCGGAGGATGCAAGGCAAGGATTTAGCTACTATGCTATCACACCAAGCTCTCATATTTGCTATTTCTTCTTGTTCCCCGGGGGAAAGGGAGAGACAAAGGGGGAAACCACTCATGACTTTCCACGCGTCCCAGTACCCAGGGATGAGGAACCGCCACCCAAATCAACCCAGGATCTCAGTGTGTACGGTGCCGAGGGTTCTGTCCAAGTGGTTTGGATAGTTCTGAAATGCTATAGGTTTCACCATTATTTGTATTTCTTATGTGAATATATGTGAGCAGGTGTTCATAAGCAAGCTTTGAAACTCATAAGTCTTTGGAGATGGGAAGAAAGAAACCAACAGGCTGCTTGCACTTAGTGAGAATACAGTTGGTACACGCAGGGTTTTTGTTGTTTCAAGAACTTCAAGCAGAACAACTGTATTTGATTTTGGAAAAAAGCAGCACAAAAGCAATGTCCAGCAGACATTTCTCACCGTAAGTGACAGCTCAGCATATTTTGATTTTTTTGGGTGATTTTTCTTTTTTGTGTGTAATGTAAGATTTTTAAAAATTATTTGATTTAGGTGTATTAATTCTGACAGGCAGGGAGATTATTTTCCATCTGCTGGTTCCCTGGCTAATTCCTCCCGTAGGAGGAGAGCTGTGCCAGCTCTATCTGGGTCTCCAAGGTGCATGGCAGAGACCCAGGTGCTTGGCTCATCAGCTGCCACCTCCCAGATTCCACAATAGCTGGATGCTGTTATCACGAGGGGGTGTGCGGTGCCAATGCAGGCACTCCAGGTTGGGACTTGGGGGTGCCAAGCAACGCCTTAATTCCTGCACCAAGTACCCATTCCGCTCAGTGCCTTTCGAACTCTCTTGGGGAATTTCTGAAGTTCAGAGTCCTGCTTGTAAGCCTCCCTTGCCTGTGCCCTAGACTCCTGCGGTTCACGGACACCCACCCGAGCCCCCCCAGCGGGAGGAGCATGCGCAGTGCAGAGTGAAAAGCCTTGGCTCCTCCTCTGCTCTCTCCTTTGCCACCGTAATCTTTGGGTCACGCTGCTGCTACTCAGCCCCCCATGCAGACTGTTAGTCACTGGAGGACTTCTGCTTGCAGTTTGAGTTTTCCAGAGATGGGGCCCCTACGCAGAGCTTTCCCGCCCTTGAGGAGCTGGCGAGGGCCACACAGAAATGACAACTTCTTGCGTGCGCAGCCGGAGCGTGTCTCCAGTGGGAAAGGACCAGCGCCGGGGCCGATCCCAGTGCTTCCCGGGCCTCCTGGTGCCCAGGAACCGCACGAGTCAGCCCCTGGATCACCTACTCTCCTCCTGCTTTCTGTCTTGAAAACAGTCAGGAGGCCCAGGCAAGACGGCCGTCTGCACGGTGTCAAGTGGCTTTCTTTGCTTTCGGACCCACCCTTGGGGTAGTGTGGACAGATGGGCTCTGAAGGAAGCTCCGGCACTTGACTCTAAAGCAACACAGCATTTTAGGAAGCAAACCGGGGCGCTGTTTTTTGTCCTTAGGTAACGTTTGGCTTGAAAGTGTGGCACTCGGGTGAAAAGGAACTGCCCCTTCTCCCCCTAGAGTGGTGTGGCCTTTGCCGTAACTCCTGTGATTGTCCTTGTGGCCGATGAGGTGACCCCTGTCAGCCCCATGGCCATCTGCTCCATCACAGCCTCCATCCGCAGCACCCTGAAGCTTGGCAGGGCTCCCGGGCGGGCAGCCCTGCGTGCGGGTTGTCACACGTCTGTCCCAGGAAGGGGCTAGGCCTGAGGAGGCTGGGCACACAGCTCTCACAGCGCCTCCTTTGGCTGTCTCTAATTTGAGCCCTTGCCTTGCAGTAAACCTAATCACTGGCATGATTGCTTGCAGGGAGTCCCATGAGTCTTTGTTGCAAGTTCTGGAACACGAGTGCGGTTTTAAACCGCATGTTGCCAGGTTATCAGCAGTGTGCGCAGGCTTGGCCAGCTGCGGGACCATACCCCAAGGCTGCAGCCTGGCCTGTTCTGCTTCTGGGTGGTGCCCTGGGAGGAATCATTGTGCCTCGCTATCAGTTTCTTAAAAACATCTGCCTTTTCTCTCCTCATGGTGTTTTTGTGTGTGTGTGTGTGGGGGGGGTGGTCTTCCCTTTATTTTTCCTGTCTTTTATACCTTTCACTTTTCTGTATATCCTTTCCATCCCCCAGCGGCACCTGTGAGTGACCCTTAAACTGCACGGCGTCTGATGCCGAGCGGCCGCTGTGGGCTGTGGGGACCTAACCACGCAGAGGCCAGAAGGAAGCGAAGCATCGTTAGATAGCTACAGCGCATGTGGCCCCCCCGAGAGGAATCTTAGAAGTGTGCAAGTGTGACTGTAAAACCCAAACACATTGAAAAGAGAATCCTGCGTCGGTGTAAGTGTGGTTCCGGAGAAGCCCTCTGGGGTTGACCCTGAGTTTGGGTCCTTGCTGTGAAAGAACATGTCGCGTTGTCATTTGGTGAGAGGAGGAAGCAGATGACAGCAGCACCTCTCGTTTCACACCTAGCTCCTGCGTGGACGCCATGAGTGACTCCGAGGACGATGGCCCGCCGCAGCTTTCCCCCCACGCCTTGGCAGCTCTGCAGGAATTTTATGCTGAGCAGAGGCTGCGAGCTGACCCGGGCGCAGATGAGAAGTATAACATTGGAATAATAGAAGAGAATTGGGTAAGTAGATGCATGCCACATTCCTCCAGAAATGTCGCCGTGTTTGCCTTTTCTCCCCAATTCCAAAGGCTGTGATGTCTGTCCTTGGGAACTCGTGTTCTTCCTTCCCAGGGAGTATTCAGGATGCTACTGAATGCAGCCTGCTGGCCACCGGGCTGCCTGGCAATCAGAGGTGTCCAGGGAGGGGATAAGTCATTGTGTCTCGCGTAGAGATACATCCAATTAGTTTATGTGGAGCTCCACACTTCTGGTAGAAAGAAAAAAAAATGTGTCACTACAGCAAATCGGGTAAGGAACCTTATTACAATAAGCAAATGAGTGGGCCGGGCTTTGGGTGTAACTGTGGAGACCTCACTTGGGAGACCTGCATCTTGTACCACAGGATGCAATCGGAAAGGCAGATTTTTGTAGAGGTCTTCGATCTGCTGGTTCACTCCCCAAAGGCTACTACAGCCATTGGAGCAGTCCCAAGCTGGGAGCCAGGAGCTGCTTCTGGGTCTCCCGTGTGGGTGCAGGGGCCCAGGGACCTGAGTCACCCTCTGCTCCTTTCCCGGCACATTAGCAGGGAGCTGGTTTGGAATGGAGAAACTGGAACTCCAATGGGCACCCATGGGATGACCCCACTGTAGGTGGCCGCCAAGCCTTGGCAATGGCTGCTGGGTCTTCCTGCTTCGTGGTGGTGTGTACCCTGGGAGGCGCCGGGTGCTGGCTCAGGTGTGCCACCCACACGGGAGGTCTACATTGCGCTCCAAGCGCCTGGCTCAGCTCTGGCTTTTATGGGCATTTGGGGAATGAAGCCACAGATGAAAGATTCTCTTCTTTGTGTGTGTCTCCGCTGCTCTCTTTCTGCCTTTGAAATAAATACATATTTATTTAAAAGTTTAGAACGTTTTATAAGAGGTCAGCTTTGAGCGTGAAAGACAAGCTCCAGCTAGGGAAAAGGAGCAGTGTGTGTTACACAAAGGACTCGTATTCAGAATACAGGAGACGCTTCTGCACGTCTTGATCATTTTAGAATGTATTGCAAATGCATTTTTCATATATATTGTTTATGTCTTCTTACTCTGTGTTTTTTCTAAAGATTTATTTATTCAAAAGGCAGTGTTACAGAGAGCAATCTTCCACCCCCTAGTTCACTCACCAGATGGCCAAAGCCAGATGTCCACGTGGGTTCAGGAGCCCAAGCACACGGCCATCCTTTACCCTGGCGCATTCAGTAGGGAGCTGGATTAGAAACGGAGCAGCCAGAACTCAAACCGACACCCATTTGGGATGCTGGTACTGCAGAGGGACAATTAGCTTGCTGCACTACTGTGCCAACTCCAAGAATCTTTTTTTTTTTTTTTTAAGAGAGAGAAACTCGTAATGTTTGTTAAGTTTTAGGATTTAGGGTTCCAAAGAAGATGCTCAGACAGGCAGTTGAGGCAGAAAACACTCCTGTAGAAAGTGCGGTGTAGTGAAGTGGGAGGTAGGCTTGCCGCCCATCAGCTTGCTGTGCTGGAGTGGCCTCGCCACCTGTCAGCTTGGTGTGTGCTGGAATGGCATTGCCCCCCGTCAGCTTGGTGTGTGCTGGAGTGGCCTCGCCGCCCGTCAGCTTGGTGTGTGCTGGAGTGGCATTGCCACCTGTCAGCTTGGTGTGTGCTGGAGTGGCCTCGCCGCCCGTCAGCTTGGTGTGCGCTGGAGTGGCATTGCCACCTGTCAGCTTGGTGTGCTGGAGTGGCATCGCCCCCCGTCAGCTTGCTGTGTGCTGGAGTGGCATTGCCACCTGTCAGCTTGGTGTGCTGGAGTGGCATCGCCGCCCGTCAGCTTGGTGTGTGCTGGAGTGGCATTGCCACCTGTCAGCTTGCTGTGTGCTGGAGTGGCATTGCCCCCCGTCAGCTTGGTGTGTGCTGGAGTGGCATTGCCACCCGTCAGCTTGTTGTGCTGTAGTGGCACTGGGAAAAGTTGGTGCCTGTGTGGTAGAAAGCCAGGTGACACAGAGCTGCCGGGTCCTGAGGATCGTGTTTGCCACTGATTTCGCGCGGCTTTTGGAAGTAGCTGCGCCCCAGGAGCCAGCAGATCTAACATCTGTGCCACCTCTGGGCACTCCCGAGCTGCTTTTTGCCCCTGTAAATTCATCTGCTCTGATCACAGTAAAATTGCACGCGGGAACATTTTTGTATCTGATTTCTTCCACTTTGCCTGTTTCCCAGGCTCGCTCATGTGGTAGCGTGTCACAAGCCCCACGTCCCTTTTCATGGCTGAATACTGTTTCTTTGGATATACCATGTTTATCCATTCAGCAGTAGGCGTGCTTTGGGTTGTTTCCGCACTGCACAGAATCCGCCCTTTGCCTGTCTCCAGGCCTGCTGCAGCCCTCACGTTCAGGGGAGCAAGAATCCTGTTAGCAAAGCGAGTCTGTGTTCTCACAGACAAAAACTACGCTACCTTCCCCATTAAAAGCATTCTTAACTTATAAATATGATTGGGTAGAAGTGTGAAGAAGACCTTTACAGCCGGTATGAAATAGAAGATCCAAGATGAACAGCAAACAGCTTCTCCCTGAAGGACAACGGGTGATTGAGGAAGCAGGCAGAGCGAGGGCCCCACGGAACAGGTGCCCGTCCCGACTGTGGCTGCGTCCTCGGCGTGTCGCTGAACGCGCTCCTCCGTCGTCGACTGCATTTCTGATTCTGTCCGCCGGCACTTGAATCTAGAAGCTTATTTAGATTTAGGTACTTTTTTTTTTTGCTGAGGGTCAACACGGTGAGTTGCGCTCCTCCATAAGGAGAAATCCTGGCAGGGCGTCTCCTCCACGTCTCCTCGGGTAACGTCAGCTACTGTTGCTATTCAGTGCTTACAATCCATGGATTCGCCAGGGACTTGTATGAATGTGAAACGATTTCAAAGAATGTGGAATTATAATTATTTAAGGATTAAAGGTCTGCATACTGACATGGTAGGCCTCCATAAGCAGGTCTGTGCCAAGCCTCACGTGCTGTCGATGCGTTCCTCTGTTCCAGCAGCTGAGCCAGTTCTGGTACAGTCAGGAAACTGCTCTGCGACTGGCGCAGGAGGCGATGAGAGCTGCCGGAGACGGGGGCAGGTGAGAGCAGCTTTGCTTCTCTCTCTTCTTCTCTGAGCTCATGATTTAAATGTCCTTCCAAGCCGAGACGTGGTTTGCAGGAAGTCCCTGCTGTGCTGTGCAAGCATTGTACCTCACGCATGAACACACGTGCTGACTCAGGCCTGCTTCAGCATACAGTAGAGGGACATACGCGCAAGTCTAGTCATCGTAGAATCTCTTATCTCTGTCCTTTAATGTTTTCTAACCTGCTAAACTCTCCTTTTTAAAAAAACTTAATGTTTCATCATTTTGAATTTTAAGAATGTAGTTTTCTTTTTTGTTAATTTGGTTTTTATTTTTATCAAAACTTTGCACATATAAAACTTAGAAGGACCCAGTGGTTCTAAAGGACATTTCAAAAACACACTCACTACGCATGTCCTGTAGACCGGCCCTGCTCTCAGCTGCCTGTCATTTTATTCTTTCCGGGTTTATAATCTGATTTCTAAGTCATGTACTCATTTGCCACATTTGAATCGGTCACTTTTGGACATTTCAGCAGTCCCCCAGTGTCCCCAGGGGCTGCCGGGAAGCAGGGACAGCCCTGACCCATAGCATGGCCTGCTCTTCCTGTTCCTACACCTAACGCCCAGTGTAACAGATGAATACATTGCAAAAACCAAGTAAAACAGAACAAGTATTTCATGATAAAATTATTTTTTATTTCTATCGTGATTATGTATATAAGTCAAATATAAATTAAGATTGACAGGTTGTTTATTTCTGGAGTTTCCTATCTACTGCTTCTGGACAGTGGCTGGCCGTGGGTGCCTGAACGCGCAGTGCAGTGGGAGCCACGGTCACTTCTTGCCTTCTCCCGTGGACAGGATGTGGGTGTTCACGCTCACGACTCCCTGGGCACCCATGCTTACTGCCCCACACCTTATTTTGCATAGAAGATGATTTATGTTGTTCCGAGGATTTTTTAAATAGTTTTTTTTCTCTTAATTTTTGCTTTTTTATACAACTTTCTTCTCCCTCATTCTTCCTTTCTTTGTTTTTAAAGATTTATTTTGATTTGAAAGGTAGATTCACTGAGAGATAGGAGAGCCGGAGAGAAAGGCCTCCCATCCACTAGTTCACTCTGTAAATGGCCCCAACAGCCAGAGCTGGACCATTCCAAAGCCAGGAGCTTCTTCCGGGTCTCCCACGTGGATGCAGGGCCCAGGACCTGAGCCCTCCTCCACTGCTCCTCCAGGCTGTGGGCAGGGAGCTGCTTCCAAGTGGAGGCACCAGGAAACAAACGTGCCCATATAGGGTGCCGGCACCAAAGGCAGAGGATTAGCTGGCTATGCCACCATGCCAGCCCTGCTTATTTATTTTAAGCAGGCTTACTTCACTTGCTTTTCCTGTGTAAAAACCTGTGTGGTAGCCTCAGCTAGAGTCCGGGTGCTCTGGGCAGACACTGTGGCGTGTCTTATCCAGTTGGTCTGTGATCTCCAGCTAGGGAGACTTGGAGAACGGTCTCTTGCCAGAGGTCAGATAGCTGTAGGTCTTGGAGATGGCCTCAAAGGAGGCCATGGCAGAGTTGCCCAGGGTGGCAGTGCACTCCCTGGCTGAGGTGTCACAACCATCAGTGCCAGCCATCCACAGCAGCTTCCTGGGAACAGGGAGTGAGAAAGGGGCAGACCAGCACTGGGCCGCAGCGTCCCCTCCCCATATAAGGCATGGTGCAGGGTGTGCCAGCCTGTCAGGTACAGCGGCGCCTTCTCTGGCCAACCTGAGATGGGTGATGGCAGGCACTTGGCACTGCCCGAGTGTCGTCAGGGCTGCACGAGGCTCCTGTCTCAGCGCCGTTGTTCGCCACGTCCAAGACAGATGCTGCTGCCCAGAGTAGCAGTCTCTTGCAGAAGGTCGCTCAGCGGGAAGGGGCCAGGCTGGAACCAGGCTGGGATTCCTGGTAGGCTCTCCGAGGCCACTGCCACCTGCTGCCCTGCCCGACCTGCATATGGGACCACTGTCCTGCCACAGTTGCCACCTTCACAGCTTCTCAGTGCCCCTCACAGGCCTGGTATGAAACCATCCCTGTCACCTGGTAGCAAGCCCCTTGGTGACTGCCAGGGACCATGTGGTATACCGTCGCCAGGCACCATCTGTGCTGTGCAGGGGGAGCCGTGTCCTGCCAGCCCTAACTAGGGCATATGCCCTTCCCTGCGAGCTTTGTTTGATCTGCCAGGCTCACTTGTGAGCTACAAGTGTGTGTGTGTGGAGAGGGGGGACAGAGACACACTTTTATTTACCTACAGGATGTGTCAGATTGTGACTGCTAAAACAATGCAGCTCACACTTAAAAGCTGAGTTTAATGCTAAAAGTCAGTCATTTTTTGAATGATAATACATGCACATACTGGAATTTAAAGCAAAGGTTTGTCTTTCTTGCCCATTTTCTCTCCAGGCAACCCTGATCCCTGCCTCTGGGAACCTTCCAGAAGGCAGCTGTGCGCCCTGGGGGCACACGTTCCCACACCCCTTCAGCCTGTCTGACTCCCTGTTCCTCTGGTGGGGGCACGGAATCTCTTGGCCCGGCCCTGCCAGGCCAGCTGCAGGCAGGCCTCAAACCTCAGTCTGTCTATGGCAGGCTGATTTTCAAGCTGATAATTTTATGTGGTCTGTGAATGATGTTGTAACTACCCAAATGGCTTTTGGCAGAAAAAAGGTTCCCCACCCCTGCTTTAATAAAGTCTCAGACATCATGGAGGTATTTGGTCTTCGTACAAATAGCCTATTCAAACACCAGTCCCGTGGTTAATTCAGTAATTTAATATTTAGGTTACTTCTAGATTTTTCAACAGCTGGTTTTAAAAGCCAGCCATTCATAAGCTGTGGGCTGGCTGTCATGAAACAGTTTCTTTTAAGAGTCAAGGTTGCTTGTCTAGCGAGAATTCGTTTCTTGTTAAACTGGACTTACTTAGGCTGTGACTTTGGGTTTTTCTTCCTTTCAAGGTCATGAAAGTTAGAAAATGATTTCAAAATATTTAGCTGGGATTAAAAGCATTTGCAGTAGTTCTTAAAGGTCCAACATGAAAATAAGATGTGATGCTAAGCTTTGGGCTAGCATCTGACTTTGTCATATTGTATTCCTGGGTGGTTTTTTAAATTATTTTTATTTTTTAACATTCTTTTCTATTAAAAATATTTATTCTTTCATATAAAAATTATGAGTTGTGGATGTTTAAGTACCGGATTTCTTTAAAATGAGACGAGGTAAAGGTTTTCTCCCCACCTCACGATCTGTTGCCTAGGATAGCCTGCGTGAGCGCCCCCAGCGTCTTCCAGAAGCTGCGCGAGCTGCAGGGGGAAGGCGCTTCCGCTTGCATCATCTTCGAGTACGACAAGAGGTTTGCCATTTACGGGGACGAGTTCGTCTTCTACGATTACAACAAGCCCTTGGATTTGCCGGACCGCATCGCCGCACACAGCTTCGACATCGTGGTGGCCGACCCTCCCTACCTCTCCGAGGAGTGTCTCCAGAAAACGTCGGAAACCATCAGGTTCCTGACGCGGGCCAAGGTGCTGCTGTGCACGGGTAGGTGCCGGCTCTGTGCCAACGCCCGTGGCCCTGGACGGTCTCCTCCTGGCGTCTCAGGAGCACGGGGCCGGCTGCCCTGGCCACCGGAGCTCCCTGAACCCCACTTTCCCTACCTGTGAAATGGAGCGAGGCCAGCACTGGCCGCGCCCGTGAGCGCCCGCACCGACAGCTGCAGCCTGTTCCATAGGGTCAGGCGGGCAGCACCGCGAAGCCACCCAGCCTGGACAGGTGGTCAAGACGGGCCCGGGGGTCTAAAGTGACTGGCCTCACGCTCCAGGCGGGCACTCTAGGGTCGCTCACTAAAGGAACAAAAGTCGCACATTTAAAAATATTGGGTTGCACCTGTGGCTCCAGTGTCCGCACGAAACTCCGAGAAGCTGATTCTCTTCTATACATTTTGATTTCTCTTCTATACAATCTTTTTACATTCTTTTCTATTTATCTTCTATTTATTCTTTCATATAAAGATTAAGAGATGCAATCTCTTTTTTTTTTTAAGATTTATTTTTTATTGGAAAGGCAGATTTTACAGAGAGTGAGAGGCCAAGATCTTCCACTCTCTGTCTTACTGCCCAAGTGGCTGCAAAAGCCAGAGCTGTGCCCATCAGGAGCCAGGAGCCTCTTCTGGGTCTCCCATGCAGGTGTAGGGTCCCAAGGCTTTGGGCCGTCCTCCACTACTTTCCCAGGCCACAAGCAGGGAGCTGGATGGGAAGTGGAGCTGCCAGGATTAGAACCGGCGCCCATATGGGATCGCCAGCATGTTCATGGCGAGGACTTTAGTTGCTAGGCCACAATGCCGGACCTGCCAGAAGCATTTTCTAACCGGTGAGACTGCTGTGCTTTCCTCAGGTGAACATGGTAAAATTTGAGGCCCAAACTTGATGCACCCTTGGCAGCTCTGCTGGGGCTAGGCGCCTGGGAGCCACTGCCCATTCCCAGCATCCCCTCGCCCCTGGGCCAGCGCTGCCCCCTCCAGAGCACCCCTCCAGAGCACCCCACTCTGGGCCCTAAGGCCTCAGGGCGTCTTTGGTGTTGTAGGATCGTTCCTCTGGTCACAGCTGCTGTCCTGGTTCATACAGATGTAGTCACCCCAAGTTTGTTAATTCAGCCATTGGGTGCTAACAGATGGTGTCACTTCAGTTTGTGTGGGGGGTTGCATAATCAGTTTTAAGGGGCAAGTTTCAAAAGTGTAGAGAAACAAAGCACCACTTTTGACAACGTGCAAAGGAGATTTGCTTGCAAAGGGGCCCCTGGGAAGCTTCGGCAGAGTTACTGGGGAGCTGTGGCCAGCTGCGTGCTCCCCAGGGGCCGAGCGGTCTCCACCCTCATGGGCAGAGCGGGCAGCAGGGACACAGCACTGCCCACAAAGCTGTCACAGTGGGTAGAAGTTAAGTAGTCTCCTGGGTCAGGCTATAGGGAAGGATCTGTTCATTGTGCCCGAGGTGCAGGCAAGAGGGCCCCCCGGAGGTGCCAAGGATGAGGGGTGGAGCCGAGGCAGTGGGAGCGTGTTCTTGGCATTGTGACTCCACCCTGGATCCCAGCAGTGACTGGCTGGCTGGCTGGCCTGTGCCTGTGTCTGAGGGCCCCGGCCTTGTGGAGGTAGAGCACCTGCTCCCTACAAGGAGGTGGAAAATGCGGCACTTTGCCAAAACACTGGAGAAGCTAAAAAGGGCATGGCTGCAGCCAGGGCTGGTTCCGGAAGTGTCGCACGTCTGGTGGTCCCGGCCGGGGCTCCAGGCTGGCCTTGGGCCCATTGCGCTCACCCCCTCTGTCTGTCCTCCCCAGGGGCTGTCATGGAAGAAGAGGCTGCACGGCTCCTGGGCGTGAGGATGTGCAAGTTCATCCCGCAGCACACACGCAACTTGGCCAACGAGTTTCGCTGCTACGTGAATTACGACTCCGGGCTGGACTGACCGGGGGCTCTGAAGGCAGAGACATCACAATAAAGGACCCAGGCCACATTTTCACATCTCTTTATCTTCTGAGTCTGCCCCCCGCCCTTCCTCCAGCCAGCTGCCCTGTGAGGCTCCACTGAGCTCATGTGTGCATGGCAGGTGGGTGGGGCCGGGCAGTGTGCCGTGTCTTGTGGCCCTGGGGGTGTGCCGGTGCCAGCTCTGCTCTGTCAGCTCCAAGCTGCACCATTGGGCAGAATGTGGCTGAGGGCACACCAGCCTGCCCGGCAAACATCCCAGCAGTTCCTTGGGAATCTACAACCACTTTGCGGGTAGTCTGTAAAAACTTCACATTCTGGGATCAGCAACGAGGCATAATGGGGTTAAGCCGTACTAGTGTGGATCCCTGCCGCTCCACTTCTGCTCCAGCTCCCTGCTGATGGCCTGGGAAAGCAGCAGAGCATGGCTCACATCCTTTCCATTCACGTGGAAGACCTGGAGCAAACTCCTGGCTCCTGGCTTGGACCTGGCCGTTGGTGCCATCTGGAACAGGCAGGTGTAGGCACTCTGTCCTCTCTCTGTAAGTCTGACTTTGAAACAAATGAATCTTCAACACACACATGTTACTAGCCCTCCCTGGAAAGGACTGCCCTCCGCCCCCTCCTGGGATAGGAGGTGTGTTGCCTCCCACCTGGACACAGCAGCCCGCAGCCCTGCCATCGGGGCTGTGTGGGCCTCGCTTTGGACACAACCACAGCTGGTGTGCAGGGCACACAGGCCAAAGAGAGACGGAGACCTTGGGCGCAGCAGATGGTGCAGTTGCCACAACACGATGCATGCCAGGAACAGGCTGTGACTCCAGCCAGCGCTGGGGACCCGGAGGGCTGTTCTTAACACCGCAGGCCTTGGCTGCCATGCAGCCACCCATCTGTATCAACACACACACATTTTTATCATTGTATCAGGACTTAGGTTAGATGTTCAGTGAAAACATTTAAGTATTTATTAATTATTTGGAAGGCAGAATGACAGAGCCAGGAGAAAGAGAGCTCTTCCCTCTGTTGGTTCACTCTCCAAATGGCCACGGTAGGGGGAGTTGGGCCAGGTCAGAGCCAGGAGCCAGGCATGTCATTCGGAACTCCAACGCAGGTGACAGGGACTCAAAGCCCTTGGGCTGTCAACCACTGCTGCAGCTGGGAGCTGCGGGCGAAGCAAAGCAGCCAGGGCCCAGACCAGCACCCCATGAGCACCCCACCAGCACCAGCAGGCGTTCTGAGCCCGGGCTAACCCACAGCACCACCTCACTCTCTCGCTGTTGGTTCTTTTTTTTTTTTTTTTTTAAAGATTTATTTTTATTATTTTCTCATTGGAAAGGCGGATATACAGAGAGGAGAGACAGAGAGGAAGATCTTCCGTCCGATGATTCACTCCCCAAGTGAGCGCAACGGGCCGATACTATGCCGATCCGAAGCCAGGAGCCTCTTCCGGGTCTCCCACGCAGGTGCAGGGTCCCAAAGCCTTGGGCCATCCTCGACTGCTTTCCCTGGGCCACAGGCAGGGAGCTGGAAGGGAAGTGGGGCTGCCGGGATTAGAACCGGCGCCCATATGGGATCCCGGGCGTGCAAGGCGAGGACCTTAACCACTTGCGCCACCGCGCCGGGCCCCTGTTGGTTCTTTTAAAAGCAGCTCCTGCCTATTCCATCTGCACTGCCTGAGAACTTCCTAGGCCAGCGGCAACTTCAGCAAAGGCAAACAAAACAAAAGTCACACGCAGCCTAGGAACTGTGGAAGAGTACCAGCCTAGAAATTGGATCTTCCAGGCCAGCATGGTGGCACAGCAAACCAATTTGCCATCTGTATGGCGTCTCATGTGGGTGCTGGTTCATGTCCTGGCTGCTCCTCTTTTGATCCAGCTCCCTGTGTGTTGCCTGGGAAAGCAGAGGAGGATGGGCTCAGCTCAGCTCAGCTCTGGCTGTCCATCTGGGGAGTGAACCAGTGGTGGAAGATCTATGTGTCTCCTTCTTCCTATGTAAAGTTTAAAAAAAAAAAAAAACACAGAAACTTAGGGTTAGGGAAAGAGAAATTTATCTACCATGGCTGGAGTTGAGCCAATCTGAAGCCAGGAGCCAGGAGCTTCTGCCAGGTCTCCCATGTGAGTGCAGGGGTCCAAGCACTTGGGCCATACTCTTGCTTTCCCAGGCCATAAACAGGGAGCTGAATCAGAACTGTAGCAGCTGGGACTAGAACCAGTGCCCATATAGGATAGTGGCACCTGCAAGTGGAGGATTAACCTGCTGAGCCAGAATGTTGGCCCCTAAATTAAAAAAAAAAAAAAATCAGATTTTCCTTGTTCTACAATCTAACAATTACGTGAAGTGAGTTTTATTTTATTTATTTATTTTTCTGGGTGAGGGAGGGCAAGGGGAAAACGTGACTCAAAAATTTCTGTAAGTTTCCTGTTAGGAGGCCTATGAAGCGAGCTAACTGCATTCATGTTTGATACGCAGCCGTCATGTTTCATGACTTGAGACTACTGATTTTGGCCTGCTGCCTATGTCAACTGCTTCTGGATTTCATGAAGGATCTGCAGGCGGGCCTCTGTGTCCTTCACAAAGGCCTCATTAGGCCTGGCACGCCTCGTGAAGCCGCAGCGGGCTCCCTGGCCTCTGCCCTTAACCAAGGACTTCCGGGTCCCCAAGGAACACTTTCCCAGGTGTCTCCGGGAGCCTTCCTGGTCCAAAGCTGTACACGCAGATGCCTCCACAAGCGGGGCTCGCTGCGGCAGAAGCAGCTGCATGGGGGACCCCGCGCAGGGACCTGTACAGCAGGAACAGGCGAAGGCCCCAGGAGCCATCACCGCGTTTCACACGGGAGGCGGAAGGGCCAGTTCCCTGTCCTGCTGAACGAGAAGCAGTAAGAGCAGCAGCTGGACCGGCGTGCACCGCACAGTGCCTGCACACGTGCTCCCGTCCCCGCAGGCGTCGCCCTCACACGTGGCCACGCTCCCAGAGCCGCCTCTGCCCCCGCACGGCTGAAGCCAGCTGTGGTCCTGAGCCCTGCTGCTCCACTAAGTATCTTCAAAAACTTCCTGGCAAGTGCATATCAGTAAAAACCATTTAGATTTCAATTTTTTTTTCTTTTGCAGCAAAATAGACATTTTTAATTCCACATTCCCATGAACTTTCTGCAGTACCTGCATATGTGTTTTCCTATACTTACGTACCTATGATAAGGTTAAGTTATAAATTAGTCAGGCCTGGCATGGTGGCCTAGTGGCTAAAGTCCTCGCCTTGAATGTGCCGGGATCCCATAGGGTCATGGGTTCTAATCCCGGCAGCTCCACTTCCCATCCAGCTCCCTGCTTGTGGGAGGCAGTCGATGACGGCCCAAAGCCTTGGGACCCTGCACCCGTGTGGGAGACTCGGAAGAGGCTCCTGGCTCCCAGCTTCGGATCGGTCCAACACCGGCCACTGCGGTCACTTTGGGGAGTGAATCATCGGATGGAAGATCTTCTTCCTCTCTGTCTTTCCTCCTCTGTGTATATCTGACTTTGCAATCAAAATAAAATAAATCTTAAGAAAAGTTATAAATTAGTCACCGTTGAACAAAAAGAGCAATTACAATACACTATGGTACATATAATGTGGGTGGGCTCACTCCCAGGACACCTTGTTGGCGCTGTAATCCCAGCAACCACGTGTGTTCCTTCCCTCAACTCACGCCCTTTCATCTTGGGGCGGCACTGTGGTATAACGGTTAGTCTGCCACCCGGGACACCTGTGTCCCATAGGGGCGGGCCGGCTCAGGTCCTGGCGCCTCTGATTCCAGTCCAGCTTCCTGTCCACGTGTCCAAATAGGCAGCAGATGGTGGGCCAAGTGTCTGGGGCCTTGGATTCGGACCCATAGGGAGGACCTGGCTTGAGCTCCAGGCTCTTTACTTTGCCTGGGTCAGCCCTAGCAGCTGTGGCCAGCAGTGGAAGCGGCCAGCAGATGGAAGAAAGGTCTGTCACTGTGCCTTTCCAATCAATATTTTTAATTTTTATACCAACATTTATCTTTCGGTTCCGTTTCCTTCGGACTTTGTGAAGTGCACATAGACTACTGCCGGAAGAGAGCTGGTGCAGCCTTCTGCGTGGGCCAAGGATGATGCACTAATTGGTGCATGGAAATAAAGTGAATTGGCAACATGAATGAAGGGCAGGTGGCAGCCACCCCACCAGAGACACCCGGAGCCCTCCCTGGAGCCCCCGCATTCCCATTCTGGGTTCTTGAGAATACCACACCCTTGAACTCACCAGGGGATGGCTCAGACAGCAGGGTCCCTGCCGCTCCCCGGGAGGCCCAACTCGGCTCCCAGCTTCCTGGCTGTGGTCTGGCCCAGGCCCAGCTGCCGGGGGTATTTGAGCCAGTGAATGGAGCTGTTGCTTTAAAAGGAGCTCGAGTCTTATTCCCAGCCACATCTGATACTGGAAGTGTCATAGTTTCTTTAAGGAACCAGGCAGGTGCTCCACGGATGTCAGAGCTGCTAAGATGAACCTTCCACTCAGAGGAAAAAACAAATGTTGCCCTTTTAGTTCTAGGGAGCAAAGGTCATTTCTTCCATTGTGTATATAATGACCTTTAATTTTTTTTTAAAGATTTATTTATTTTTATTGCAAAATCAGATACACAGAAAGGAGGAGAGACAGAAGGAGATCTTCCATCTGATGATTCACTCCCCAAGTGACTGCAACGGCCGGTGCTGCGCCAATCTGAAACCAGGAGCCAGGAGCCTCTTCAGGGTCTCCCATGGGGGTGCAGGGTCCCAAGGCTTTGGGCCGTCCTCGACTGCTTTCCCAGGCCACAAGCAGGGAGCTGGATGGGAAACAGGGCTGCCGGGATTAGAACTGGTGCCCATATGGGATCCCGGTGTGTGCAAGGTGAGGATTTTGTGAAGGCTATCACACTGGGCCCAGAGATCAACTTTCTCAGACCAGGTGATCTAAGGTCAAATCAAATCTGTTAGATTAAGCCTCAACCAAAAAAATTAAAGTATGTTAACATTTAAAAAAATATATTTTTATTGGAAAGTCAAATTTACAGAGAGAAGGTAAGGAAAAGAGTTTCTGTCCTCCATTTACTGGCTAAGTGGCCGAAATAGCCAGAGCTGAGCTGATCTGAAGCTAGGAGCTTCTTCCAGGTCTCCCACGTGGGTGCAGGGTCGTCCAAGGCTTTGGGCTGTCCTCGACTGCTTTCCCAGGATACAAACAGGGAGCTGGAAAGGAGCACCCGTATGGAATCTGGGCACATACAAGGTGAGGCCTTTAGCCACTGGGCTACTGCACTAGGCCCTATGTTAACATTTTAGTTAACATACAAGGACTTCAAAAAGCTCACGGGAAAATGGAATTAACAAGCTTGTTTTGTTACAAAAATGTTTTGAATATATCCATACATAGATTTTCCATATTTTTCACAATTTTTTCCCTTCCCGATATTGATTTAGAGACGGGGAGAGAGCGCGCCCATCCACTGGTTGACCCCAAACTGCCCTAAAGGCGAGGACTGGGCCAAGCTGTAGCCACAGCAGGGACCTGGATGGGAAGCGGAACAGCTGGGATGGAACCTGGCACGGGCATTAAAGAGCTTAAGGTGCGACACTGCGCCAGCCTCTTCCACTCATTTTTTAAAGATTTTTTTTTAAGCACCCAACTAAAGCTTATTTTAAAATGCCACTTTCCATAAACTTTTCAAAGTATCTTTGTGCTGTTTGCCTGAAAAACCCCCGCGAAACGCACCTGACTGGAATCCAGAGAAGCTGGCAAGGCTAAAAAACGGCTCGCTCAGCTGCTCGAATGACTTTAAGGAACGTCCAGCTTTTGCAGTTGGTGGTGCCACGCACAGCTGCGCCTCGGGAACAGGCTGCGGGCTTGGAACCCGGGAGTCACGCACAGGTACTGCTCAGGCCACTCTCGCCTGGCCCACTTTCCCCACGCGGCCGTCCTGAGCCCACCCTCCTTAACACCAAGCCACTGCTGGCCCAGACTTGTGGGAACTGGCAACAAGGCCTCCTCCCGCGCCTTCCCTGACCTCGAGACCATTCCCTGTCCACAAAATGGCCCCAGGAGCTTTCAAAGATGAAAAGAAACCCTGAAAAGTTCCCACCGGGTCCCACTTAGGTCCGTTAGAAGGCCAGGTTTGGGATGTGTGGCATCTTGGCCATGCTGGGGTCTGGTGAGCCTCGTGGCTTCGCCCTGCTCCGCTGTGGAGGACCTTGGGCTGAACAAGGTCAAGGCCAAGCCTGCCCATCTTCGAGCCAGCATGGGGCACCCGCTCAGCCCCAGCACTGGCTAACGAGGGTGCATCCGAGGAGTCCGACCGATAGCGCCCCTAAAGTACCTTCCAGGAGCAAGTGACTGTTCACAGAACGTTTATACATCAGGTTAAAAAAAATAACTATTTTAATGCAGTTTTTTTCTAAATCTCTAATATAAAAAATGTTCCACCCCTATTCAAAACTGTTGCATAAAAAAGTATTTAGTCTCAACTTTTTAAAACGAGACGAAGCGAATCTAAGTCTACTTCCCAGCGTTTCCCACGTCTACACAGCCTCCCAGCCGGGCCCCATGCCGCCCTGGCGCACCGCAGCCCCCAGCCAGCCCCCAGCCACCTCGGGGGTGCCTCTGCTCACGGAGCCGGCTGGTCGTTAGGGCCCAGCAGGAGCTTGGCGCCCTGCTTGTCCATGCTGGAGTTGAGGCTGTCGGCGTCCTTCTCCTGCTCGGGGACGCAGGTGCAGCCCACGGGGATGGTGGTGTAGTGCTCGGTGTAGACGGCGCGCCCGCCGGCGCAGGCTGCCGTGCGGCGCAGCACGACCGTGGGCACATACACAGGCGTGCTGCGGAAGCGGAAGTCCTCCTCGCCGAAGGGCCCCGTCAGGCAGCCCCGGCACAGGCAGTAGGCTTGAGGCAGGTACTTAGGGTACCTGGCCGGGTCGTAGGAGATCCTGCAGGGAGAGAGCGAGGGCGGGAGGGGGCCAGGTCAGAGCAGGTGCGGAGGGAGAGGGTGAGCCAGCGCGAGGGGCGAGCTCCTGGGCAGGTGCAACGTGTGCCATCGCACGCTGGCCGCAGGGTACGACAACACCTTAAAGGGACCTGGGTCTGTTCCTAAAATGACTCAAAATACAGACAAATGAAACTGGCAGCACCTGCGTGTCGGCCACCCCATGACCTCTCTCTGGTCCAGCAGGCCCTGCAGCCCCAGGCTGGGTGGGCCAGGCTGGCCCTGGACACCTGACAGACATTAGCTGCCTGGCCACAAGCGCAGAGGCAGCTGTGTGGACAGCAGTGTGCAGGGACTCCTCCAGCGGTTCCGCCTCCTCTGGGAAGGCGGCCTGGGCTGCAACAGGTGAGCACAGGCCTGGTGGGCCTGGGATTCCAGGAACGTGAAGAACGGCTTCAACCCCTGCAGTGCCATCCTGCACCGTGCACAGGGTCTGGGCAGATGCCAACCACCTCTGGTCAGCCCGTGGTCATCCTGCCAGGGCAGCCCACACTCGGCTGGGCTGGCGGCTGTCAACACCCACACACTTCAGGGGTGGGGGGATTAACTGGGGCCCAAGGGCGCGCCCAAACACCCATTGGCAGAAGGAAGCAGTGACATTCTCATCTCGGAGACCTTCCCACCCCGTGGTCCTCCCGCCGGCCTGCTGCTTGCTCTCTGGAGCCCCCAAGATCTCAGACTCACAGCCTTGACTCGTCAGTTGGTCCAGCCACGGGACACCTTTACAGACCTACAGGGTGTCGGCCGGAGAAGGCTCCATGGGGGTGTGGGCTCAGCCCCCTAACGGGGAAGCTGCGGGTCCACCTGTCACCAGGCGTGGCCACTACGGCCCGCCCACAGGTGTGCCTCTCAGACATCAGAAAGCGAGGCTGGGCCTGCAGACAGAAGTTGCTGGAAGGAGGGCAGGGAAGGCAGAAGTCGGAGTCAGGGGCTCCTAGTGTAGAGTAGAAAGCTCAGTCTCCTCTCCAGGGGCCTTGAAAGAAGTATGGTCCTCAGGACCAGGCGGGTTGCGAGGCCCTGGTGGGCGATGAAGGGACCTGATTTGCTTCTCCCCTTTGGGTCCGAGGGATGTGGACGGGGGTGGACTGTCGCAGCACAGCACATCCACGACTCTGAACACGAACATCCCCCAGTGCCCACAGGGGGCCAGGTGCATGTCGAAACAGCTAGCGTGGCTCCTGCAGAAGAGGCCCAGGCAGAGCCAGGATAAACAGGCACGGGCTCCCTGGCATACCCCTCTTGCTGTAGTATTCTCGTCAGGAAAAACCCCATTGCCTCGCCTGCGTGCTCCCTTGGTGCCTCTCCAGCGTGCCCCTCACGGCCACCCCCTTGTGCCACCTCTGCTGCAGGCAGCCCCGTGGGACACGTTCCTTGCAAATCCACAGCGGCACTCTGCTCCCTGCAGGGGCTGGCACGAGGGTCTCCGGTTTCTTCAGTCAGTTCAGCTTCTTCTCTCCCCACCTGAGGCACCTCCGCCACCACCTCCGTGTCATGGCTGTCCCCAGGCTGGTCTCTCCCAGCCTTCCCACAGAGCCAGGGCCATGTCAACGTCCTGTCGTCAGCATTAGACCCTGCCTGACCGCCGGAATGGAGGCAGTGCAGGCACACAATCTCTCTGGTCACCGTCAGGTGCAGCGCAGAGGTGCGCCTGTCGGGGAGGTGCACCACGCGCTGCTCTTGAGCCCGGCTGCGTCACGAGACTGTACATTTGGGAATGCCTGGCAAAGGGTACACAGGACTTCCCTGTCCTGATTACATGACGGCTTTGTTTGAAATGACTTCAAAAAAGGAGTTAAAAGATAAAACAACAACAGAGAAAAAGCTGCTAGAGCTCCCCAACCGCTGAGGTAACAGGGAAGTGGGGTGCCGCATGAGCAAGTGAAGCTGGGGGCGCTGCAGCACCAAGGTCAAGTTCAACTGAGCCCTTGTGGGGGAGTGCTGGGAGGCAGCAAGCGCCATCTGGGGCTGGTGCATGGCAGGTGGGGGCTGCGTGGGAACCTGGCCCTGCCCTGCCAGGGCGCACAGGCTGTGGGTATGCCAGGCCAGTGCCACGCCACCCCGGGGGTACCAGGAGAGCGGTCCCCAACCAAAGAGGCTGAGTGAGCTCCAGAGAGTGACGGTCCTGGGGGGCACGGGGGCACCATCAGGCCTCTGTGGCTGGAGTGCTGTGAGGGACCCGTGTGGGCAGGGGTGTTTAAGCATGCACATGCGTATGTGAGGGTGTGGGAGCATGGCTGAGCAGTGTATGACTGCATGAGCACAGCATGAGGATGTGTGTGTGTGTGTGTGTGTGTGCCTCTGCGAGTGTGTACAGCATGGGTAGGTGTGTGAGTGCTGTGTGCTTGTGTGTGCATGTGCCAGTCCAGCTGTGTGGTGCCCAAGGCCATTCCTGTCTCCATCTGTTCTCCTGCTGGCCTGGGTGTGCAGGTGACACGGAGGACAAGCAGCCACATGGCACTCGCACTCAGCCTGGTGCTTGGGCGTAGTGATGGGCAGAGGTCTGTCCCAGCCCTCCATGGGTCCCTGGCATGTTCAGGGGACGTCACTGCTGCCCTGGAGTGATGAGAGCAGGAGTGGGGGACTGGTGTTGGGGGAGTGGGCGGGGTCTGTCACATGGCAGAGGCTCCTCCAAGGTAAGGAGCATCCCCTGCAGGCCATCCCCAGACGGGAGCTGTGAGTGCTGGCAGAGGGACCTGAGTCAGAGACGTGGCTTTGGAAATGACCCCGAGGAGCCCCGTGGCATCAGCAGCTAATCCTAACCCTTCCTTGGACAGCAGGGCACCACGGAACACCAGCTGGACCCCCCACCTCTCACCAAACACGGAGGCAGCAGGGAGGGGGAGCATCCGTAGGACCTGGGCCCTCACAGCTCCCACAGAGCCTATAGCTCTGCCTGAGACACACCAGGGTACCCTCCCCCCCGCCCATGCCTCAACCATGAGGCTTGGCCCAGTGAGAGACAGCTGGCCCGGCTTAATCCGAGTCCTCCAGGGATGAGTTAGAGGTGAAACTGAGCCGGGGAGCGGAGGCTGGTGACAGCAGAGGCAGAAAAAGGTGCTGCCCCCCAGGGCCCGGATGATGGAGTCGGAAACAATGCGGAGCGGTTCCGGACACCCAGAGCTCAGAAAACAATGAGTACATTCCCGGGCGGGCAGCCACCCCACGCGCTCCGCACCTGATGCCAGGCATGGCGGAAGACGTTCGAGGCGCCGATCTGCCAGCTGGCTCGGGCCCCGCTTTGCCAAAGCTGAGGCAGTTTCCATTTCAGAGCAGCCTCTCTGCCGAGTGTGACCGTGTCCTCAACCATCACCAGCTGCGTTGCTGGCCGTCACCCCCAGGACCACAGCACACAGGTGGAGACCAGGTAGTCCCAAAGACGGCTCGTGCAGCCGGCACGCCTGCGCAAGAGAGCCCTGGGCCCGAGCATTTGGTCCATGGCGGTGGGCCACCGGGCAGTGGCTTTGGACAAACGGGTCTTTGTAGTGGGAAGGTATTGGGTCGGACCCTCTGGCTGCTTCCTCCAGCAACCTGGAGGTGGGACTGAGAAAGGGGCCCTACAATAAACCAATTTTTTCTGCTTAGTCTAGACCCTTGCAGCACATGGAGTCTCCAAGGCCTTAGGAAATTCTCCTTCCAATTCATCTGTGAAGTCAGAGCAATTCTATCCAAAATTCCAGTAACGTGTCTCTGGGAACTTAGCGAGGTGATGCTAAGATTCATCGAGAGAAGAGCCAGAGCACAGCACGAGGCGTGGAGTCACTGCACTGTTTGGGGGAACCGTCCCGTCGGCAGGGTCCCCCCGGAAGGCAGCTGGGTCACACGGCCTCCTTCTACCTGTCAACAGGGCTGCCCTGTAGGTCTCAGGTCCCCTGCACCAGGACCGTGTTGGCGCTCTCCCAGCGTGCAGGCTTGGGCAGCAGTAACCTGTCCCCGGTGGCAGAGCTGGCACCTTGGGCGAGTAAGCCGTGTGTGGGGTGCCTGGCTTCTGGTGCCCGCAGCTGATAGCCGCGTCTTCCCAAGGATACACCCCACTCGGCTCCCCAGCCTAATTCAGGCAGTCACCAGTCACCGAGGAGCAATTAGCATCGCCAACTGGGTGGCTCTGGGAACGCTTTGTTCTTCACTGGAGACACCAGAAAATGGGGATGCTGTTCCCGCCCCCAGGTTCCAAATTCCTTGCACTGGAGTGGGGCCAGGATGTTGGCTTTAAATGAAAAGCCTCCCAGACGTTGCTCACAGACAGCCCTGGTGGAGGCCACTTGGTTCACGTATTTAAGGGGCTTTGCTGCTTTTCCCTCTGCCACCGAGCCTGGCAGCTGGGGGGGGGGGGCTGGCATACAAGGCAGGGCCGACACCTGGGGCCTGGGCTGCAGCTGCAGACCCCTGCAGGATGAGCCGGGGGGGCAAGTGAGGCCACAGGAGGCCAGAGCAGCGTGTCCCTGGGAGGGGTGGGGGAGCTGTGGTGGTAGGGCCTGCCCTTCCCCAAGGACCTGAAAGGATCCAGGCCGTCTGTTGTCCAGGAGCTCTGCAGGTTCCTACAAGCCGACAGCCCTGTGGTTCCTACAAGCCGACAGCCCTGTGCACTGCTCAGCAAAGGCACGGGGACCAGTCAGCCTGAGGCTGCGGCCGGGCCTGGCCCAGGCACAGGGTCCCGTGGCTCCACCAGGCCAAGGCGAGAGAAGGGCTTGTCCTGCCTTCATCCACTCTGCTGTGAGCCTGAATTTGGCCCGCAGCCCAGGTCCCAAGTCCGCGGGACAGGCCCTGGAGCATGTCAGACTTCTGTCAAAGGAGCCGGCTCTGGGACACAGGGACACGGCTCAGCCTGCCCCACTCCCCTCTCCTGAGGGGCCGAGTGTTTGAGGCTAGGGAGCAGCCAGCAAGCTGTCCCAGGAAGTCCTGGCGGGACAGAGCAGAGAACCCAGAAGATTCGCTGGTGTGGGGATG